CAGACAGACTCATCTGCCAGCACCAGGGTCCTGAGGCCCAGAGTCGTCATGAAAAAGAGTTCCCTGTGAGAGGTTTGTCCCTAAAGCTTGAGCAGGTCCTCCCCTCTGAAAAAACTCCTGAGACCCTTGTGTTTCCTTATGGGCCAGTGTTTGGCTGTGGGGCAAGTTTATTTCTTGATCACAGATTCCTCCACCACTCTTCACATCTCACCTGGACCTAGCAGGACTGTGAAGGTTAAAGTCTGTCATCTCCTTCCAGAGGCTGGAACTGTGCTTTTGGGCAGAGCTAGAGAGCCTGGCTGGAGGGACAGGAAACATAGGGTTTGGCCTTTTGAGTCTATTCTTCAGGAAACCCACAGAAAGGGGAACTCATGTACCCAGCTGTGACTTCTCCAATTTTGTGGCTAGGCTAGGGTGGTACACTCTCTGCAGTTAATTTTTACATAGACAACTACCACTGTCATGAGGACCAGCCTCCAGCAGCTGCTCAGAGTTTGAGGAGGAGCAAAATGAGTAAGCAAACTAATCACTCAACTTGACTTCTCTATCTGAGGGACTAAAACTTAATTCTCTGGAGCCAGCTAGGGGGTCAAAACTTAACTGTGGGGCTGGTGAAAAGGGAACACACACACACACACACACACACACACACACACACACACACACACACACACACACACACACACGCATCTCCAAAATGTCAGGATCTTACCCAGGGTGCTGATGAATGGCAAGCCTTCAGCAGATCAGAGAAATTGAAGAGGAGATGTAGAGCACATGAACTACTGGAAAGAAAAACAGACACATGAGAACTTTCCTGAGGACCAAAGCTTAGTTCTTCATTTCATTATTTTTACTGTTACTTGCTCTACTCTATTCCTTTTTTGTTCTGTTCTTCTACCTTGTTGTCTTCCTTCTAACTTTATTTTTTTCCCTTACAGATTATATACCCCAGCAAAATCTTTCAAGCAGTATAAAAATTACAGTGTGGTTACATACTATTTTACAAGTGAATGATTACAAGGAATACAAGTAAAAACCAACATGTTTTCTATATCCCTTACATGATTAAAAATTTTATGTATTACAAGTGAAAACCAAATTATTCCCAAGAACCCACATATATTTATGTCCAAACAATTTTTTTTAATAGATTAACAAAGTGTAAGCAAGCAAGGCACTTTTCTCAGCCAGTTCTTTTACGGGCAGGCTGCGTTTTGCTGTTACAAAGAAAGGAGCAATCATATTATTACTTATCCCAAAAGGTAATCTTATAAGAAGAATCACAAATCTAAACTTTTATATATGAAAAAGGATCAGTCATCTCTACTTTAAATCTTCAGGGTGCATATCCGTTCATCAATAGATTTTTATATCATGAAGTTAAGGGCAGGAATGGGTACAAGGAATTAATCATCATTCCACCTTAGCAAGAAAGTTGTGTCAGCCAGCATAGCCAGGCTGTCATTGTACATGTTTCTTAACCTCAGCGAGTCCCTTGCTCAGCTATTAAAAGTGTGGCTTTAAATTGTTTTCCAAGTTTTTTTTTAAACCTCAAAGACATTAACACAAACATCTAAACCGAACCTTAAGTCATTGTTTAAAGCTTTGTTTTAGCTACGTTGCACACCAAAACCTGTGAACACATCTCTCAACATTAAGATGAAAAGAACTTGAGGTAGCTGGGCTTCTGGGACTCAGTTGTTTTTCTTAATCATTAACCTAATTCACAGTCTATATGCCTCCTCAAAAGAAACTAGCTATATGACATTTCCTTGTTCTTTTTTTCCATCCTCAGTAGCCCCTTCTTTATCAGGGGTGGGGGCACACCATATCCTGCTTTTACCTATACCGGTTTTCCCACTAAGCTAACCTCTATCATAATCTCTTTCTATACTTATTAAAGACCCTCAATCATCAAAATCCAATTTAAACTAATACTATTATTATATAAAATCATTGCTCCAATTAAACAGTGCAGCTTAGGAGAAAATTATCCTCATAATAATCCACAGGTGAAAATGCCTAGTAGAATGAGGTATTTCCAAGAGATGATCATACTGCAGTAAAGGCAGTGGGGATCTCCTCACACCCATTCACACCATGCTGGGTACCAGGGGAAAATGGCAGTGGTAAACATATAAAGGCATAGTAGTAGCAAGAGACATGTAGGATTGAAGCCCTCGGGGCCCTGTCTATCCAAGATTCACCCATCAGTGCCTTGCATGCTGCTGGGCTGATCCGCTGAAGGCAATTGCCACCTGCTGCTTCTTTGACATGGCCATCAGCAGATAATATTTTCACAACCCCACCAATGTCTCCTTCATCTGTCATCATTACGCTCAGAAAAAGGTGGTAGCAGGCATATATGAATATTTCAAAAAACAAATACAAGTTTATGTTTTTATTAAGAAAATTTTTCCATTCATTTTACACACTGATCAAAGATCCCCCTCTTCCCTCCATCCACCGCCCCAGCCTCTCTTTCCCAACCCACCCCCCCACTCCTCCCCACAAGAAGACAAGGTCTCCCAGGGGGAGGCACATCCAGTAGAGGCAAGTCCAAGCCCCTCTCCTGCCTCAAGGCTGCAAGAGCTGTCCCATCATAGGTAGTGGGTTCCAAAAAGCCTTCTCATGCACTAGAGATGGATTCTGATCCTACCGCCAGGGGGCCCCCCAAGCAGATCAAGCTACACAACTGTCTTGCCATACAGAGGGCCCAGCCCAGTACCATGCAGGCTCCACAGCCATTGATCCAACTTTCACGGGTTCCCTCTAGTTTGGTTTGGTTGTCCCTGCATGTTTCCCCATCATGATGCTGATGCACTTGATCATAGAATCTGTCTTCTCTCTCTTTGACTGGACTCCTGGAGCTTGGCCTGGTGTTTGGCTGTGGATCTCTGCATCTGCTTCTATCAGTCACTGGAGAAAAACTCTGTGATGACAGTCAGGGTGTTCACTGATCTGATCTCTGGGGCAAGCCAGTTCAGTTCAGGCACCCTCTCCACTATTGCTAGTAGTCCAAGCTGGGGTCATCCTTAGGGCTTCCTGGCAGCTTCACTAGCACCGGCATTCTCTCTATCCCCATGTCTCTCTATCCCTCTATCACAGTATCTCTTTCATGGTTTTCACACTTCATCCCTGTTCCAGCTGGACCATCCCATTCCCTTATGTTCTCATCCCCACCCTCCATTGCCCACCCCTCCTCCCCAGTTTACTTATGGAGATCTCATCTATTTCCCCTTCCCAGGGTGATCCATGCATCACTCTTTGGGTCTTTCTTGTTAGCTAGCTTCTCTAGAGTTGTGTGTTGTCGTCTGGTTATCCTTTGCATATACCCAAGGAATACTCAACCATACCACAAGGACACATGTGCAGCTATGTTCACAGCAGCATTATTCATAATAGCCAGAACCTGGAAACAACCTAGATGCTCCTCAACTGAAGAGTGGATTAAGAAAATGTGGTACATATACAAAAACAGTACTACTCAGCAGAGAAAAACAATGACATCATGAAATTTGCAGGCAAATGGATGGAGCTAGAAAATACCACCCTGTGTGAGGTAACCCTCAGAAGGACAAACATGGTATGTACTCACTCATAAGTGGATACTAGATATAAACCAAAGGTAATCAGGCAACAACCCACAACTCCAGAGAAGCTAACTAACAGGGAAGGCCCAAAGAGGGACACATGAACTGCCTTAGGAAGGGAACATAGATAAGATCTCCATGAGTAAACTGGGAATGAGGAATGGGCAATGGAGGGTAGGGGATAGGGGATGAGAACATAAGGGAATGGGATGGTTGAGCTGGAACAGGGAGGGAGGGGGAATGCAATTAAAGAGATACCATGATAGAGAGAGACATCACAGGGACAGAGAGAAACCCGGTGCTAGGGAAGCTGCCAGGAAGCCCCAAGGATGACCCCAGCCTGGGCTACTAGCAATAGTGGAGGGGGTGCCTGAACTGAACTGTCTTGCCCCAGAGATCAGACCGATGAATACCTTAACTGTCATTACAGAACTTTTCTCCAATGACTGATGGAAGCAGATGCAGAGATCCACAACCAAACACCAGGCAGAACTCCAGGAGTCCAGTCAAAGAGAGAGAAGACAGATTCTCTGGCAAGGGCATCAGGATCATGATGGGGAAACCTGCAGAGACGACCAAATCAAACAAGTGGGAACTTATGAAAGTTGGATCAAAGTTGGCTGTGGAGCCTACATGGGACTGGATTAGGCCTTCTGCATTGCGAGACAGTTGTGTAGCTTGATTTGCTTGGGGGGGTCCCCTGGCAGTAGGATCAGAATCCATCTCTGGAGTATGAGCGGACTTTGTGGAGCCCATTACCTATGATGGGACACCTCATGTAGCCTTGAGGCAGGGGGAAGGGCTTGGGCTTGCCCCTAATGAATGTGCCTCCTCCCCATGGGAGGCCTTGCCTTCTTGTAGGTGGGAGTGGGGGGTGGATTGGGAGGGGAAGGCTGGGGGCACGGGAGGAGGGAAGAGGGGGATCTTTGATCAGTGTGTAAAATGATGAAAAAAATTTTCTTAATTAAAAAAAAAGAAAAAAAAAGATTTAAAAAATTGAACAACCAACCAGAAATAGAGGTGCACATTTGTAATCCAGCACCTAAGGCTATGAGAAAGAAGATTATAAATTTTATTCTGTGCAGATGTACACAATGAGACCCTTCACAGAAACCTGCAAATATTTTGAATACAAAGAAGTATTTCACATAAAAAATGTGAAAGGAATAAAGCAAACCCATATGTAAATTTGTGTTTCTTATGTGTAATATTCATGTCTGCTAATTTGTCGGTTCCACTTGGTACTGACAGAGATGAGGACAGATAAAACAGACAAAGAATTGATTGCAGAGTCTACTACCTGACCTAGACACAGCCTTGGAGAAATCAGAGCCTGGTGCCTGAGGAGGGCACTTCCTCTTCCTGTGGGGCTGCTGAACTACAACCATGTCATAGGGAGTGTCCAGCCTCCAGAGACCACACCCTGTGTCTCCTGTCCCTCCAGGCAGTCTCTGGAGCTCTGCCCATGAGCACAGTTGCAGCCTCCAGGAGGAGATGCCATGACCTTCACCGTCACAGCCCTGCTCTGTCTGGGTGAGATGTGGAGATGGGGAGGGGATACTGTGGTCTAGGATTGATGCTGCCCCACAGCCCAGCACTGGCCCATCAGGAAAATCCAGGGTCTTAGAAGGTTCTGCAGAGGGGAGGACCTGCTCAAGCTTCAGGGACAAACCTCTCACTGGGAACTCTCTTCCAGGACTGACTCTGGGCCTGGGGACCCCAGTGCTGGCAGGTGAGTGAGTGTCTGCAGCTGTCCTGACCTTCACTTCTCATCATTTCTGCAGCCATGCCTGGGCAGTGAGGATGGAGAACAACACATGTTTTTTGTGTTGGGCATGGCTGGAGGGTTGGGGTTGGGAGCTGCAATCTGATGGCGGTCCTGGGTACCAGCTGCTATTTTCCTTGCAGGGGCCCTCCCTAAGCCTGTCCTCACAGTACAGCCAGACTCTGTAGTCTACAAGCAGACTACAGTAACCTTCTTCTGTGAGGGGACCACAGGAGGCAAAGCATACAGACTCTATAAAGAGGGAAACCAAAGAATAAGGCGCACAGACTTTCCACAACAAAAGCCTAAGGACAAGGCTGAATTCTCAATCTCAAAAATAGACCACAACCATGCAGGACGATATCACTGTCAATATCAGATCTACGATGGATGGTGGTCAGAGTTCAGTGACTCCCTGGAGCTGGTGGTGACAGGTGAGAGGACACATAGGGACCCAGCCTCAGGCTTGACTGTCAAGAGGTGGGTCTGTTAACAGGGTTACCTCCACCTCACAGCCATAGAGGATAAGGAGGCATGATACATTTAACTGATTCCTCCTTTTCTCCTAGGAGTCTACAGTAAACCCAGCCTGTCAGCCCAGCCCAGCCCTGTGGTGACTGAAGGAGGGAATGTCACCCTCCAGTGTGGCTCAGGGCAGTCATATCACAGTTTTGTTCTAACTAAGGAAGGACCTCAGAAGCTCTCCTGGACACTGGACTCACAGTATAACCTCTATACTGGACAGTTCCAGGCCCTGTTCTCTGTGGGCCCTGTGACCTCCAGCCAAAGGTGGACATTCAGATGCTACAGCTTTAACAAGTACAGACCACAGGTGTGGTCAGAACCTAGTGACCCCCTGGAGCTCCTGGTCTCAGGTTTGTAACCCCAGCCTTTCCATAGAATGAAATGGAAATGATACAGGTACTCAGAGAGGCCTTGGTGTGTGGTGTGTGTGAGGGGCCAGGGCTCCTGAGCCCATGACCCAGAGCATGGGAGAGAGAGGGACACAAGATGCAGAATTCAAGACAGAGATTGACTGCAAAGTCCAGGAGGTCCAGGACAGAGATGAATCCTTATGGGGCCTTCTGTTACTCTGGATCAGCTCATGTGCCATCCACAACAGCTAGGGGAACCCCACAGAAGAGAGGGAGGAAGGGGTGCAGGAGCCAGAGCACTCAGGGACATCAGGAGAACATGGGCCACAGAATCTACTAAGCAGGGATCATGAGGGCTCACAGAGACTGAAACAGCAGCCACAGCGTCTGCATGGGTCTGCCCTAGGCCCTCTGCACATATGTTGTAGTTGTTTACCTTGGATTTTTGTTTTTGTTTTTAAATAGTTTGTGTAGCCCTGTCTGTCCTGGAACTCACTCTGTAGACCAAGCTGGCATTGGACTCACAGTGATCTGCCTGCATCTGCCTCCTGAGTGCTGAGATTAAAGGCGTGCACTGCCGCTGCCTGGCTAGCTTGTTGTTTTAGTTAGACTCATAACAATAGGAATGGGGATGCCTCTGACTCTTTTGCTGGCATGTGGGATCTTTTTTCCTCTAACTGGGTCGCCTTGTCCAGCCTTAATATGAGGGTTTGACTAGTCTTGTTGCATGCTGTTATATCAGATTCAGTTAATATCACTGGGAGGCCTTCTCTTTTCTAAAGGGGAAAAAAAGGAGCAGTGGATTCCAGGGAGAGGGGATATAGGGAGGCTGCTGTCAGGATGTATTGTATGAGAGAAGAATAAATTATAAAGAAAAAAGTGCCATCCACAATTGTGACTTTCTCTGTACCACTTTCAGACAGACACAACTTCTCTCCCACTTCCTTGCAGGGACCCTCCACAAACCCACCATCAAGGCTGAGCCAGGCTCTGTGGTCACCTCAGGAAGTCCCATGACCATCTGGTGTCAGGGGACCCTGGATGCAGAAATATATGTTCTGCATAAAGAGGGAACCAAAAACACTTAGGCACACAGTCCGCAGAGAAGCCTGGGAACAAGGCCAAGTTCTCCATCCCTTCTGTGACACAGCAACATGTGGGACAATATCACTGTTACTGTTACAGCTCAGCTGGCTGATCAGAGCGCAGTGACACCCTGGAACTGGTGGTGACAGATGAGGGGACAGTTAGGGTCTCAGCCCCAGGTTCTGCTCTCAAGAATATTCCCCTCCCACAGCCTAGCCCTGGAAAGCATTGTGGCTGTGTGAGCCATGTAACAAGCTGCTTTCTTCTCTCCTAGGAATCTACTACAACAAACCCAGCCTGACAGCCCTACCCAGCCCTGTGGTGACCTTAGGAGGGAACATGACCCTACAGTGTGTCTCAAAGGAGGGATATGATAAATTCGTTCTCACCAAGGAAGATCAGAAATTCCTCAGCTCTCTGAACTCACAGTTTATACACAGTATTATGCAGTACCAAGCTTTGTTCTCTATAGATCATGTAACACCAGACCACAGAGGGACATTCAGATGTTATGGTTACTACAACCAAACTTCACAGTTGTGGTCAATACCCAGTGAGCCCCTGAAAATACACATCTCAGGTGAGCCAGCTCCACCAATGACCAATCCTGTCCCACTGGGTAGTTGCAGGTAGAGAGAGGGAGAGGAAGAGCCTGGTGACTGAGCCAGAGCCCCACTCCTGGGGAGAAGCAGTGACATGTGCAGGGCAGGATGGGCGGGATAAGTGTTTGGTAAAAACCAGCTCTTCAATCACTAGCCTGTCACCTTCCCTCTAGGTCTGTCCAGGAAGCCCTCCTTGCTGACTCACCAAGGCCATATCCTGGACCCTGGAAAGAGCCTCACCCTGCAGTGTTGCTCTGACATCAACTATGACAGATTTGCCCTGTTCAAGTTGGGGGGAGATGACCTCACCCAGCATGATGGCCAGTGGACTGAGGCTGGCCTCTCCATGGCCAGTTTCACACTGGGCCCTGTGAGCAGCTCTACTGGAGGCCAATATAGATGCTATGGTGCACACAACCTCTCTTCTGAGTGGTCAGCCTCCAGTGACCCCCTGGACATCCTGATCACTGGTGAGGGGATAAATAGATTCCCTCAGGTACCTAACCTGTGCATGGGTTCTCATGGGGGAGTTAAGGAGGGGATGGCTGGGATGAGGGACAGGGATCTTAGGCAGGATCAGATACATAGACAAGCAGGAGTGGGGCTCAGGCAGAGCAAAGAGACAGAGTCCCAGGTTCTCAGGGCAGACCCGGATGAGTTATCAGCTCAGAACATTGAAGGCAGCCTCTCATAATCTCTCTTCTCTTTAGGACATTTTCCTGTCAGTCCTTTCGTCTCAGTGAAGCCTGACTCCACAGTACACTCTGGAGACAACGTGACCCTGCTGTGTCAGTCAACATACCCGGTGGACACTTTCATTCTGTCCAAGGAGGGAGCAGCCCAACAACCACAGCGACTAAAATCAATGTTTCAAATCTGGGAGTTCCAGGCAGAATTCTCCTTGAGTGCTGTGACCTCTGACCTCTCAGGCACCTACAGGTGCTATGGATCTCAAGGTTCATCTCCCTACCTGCTGTCATATGGCAGTGCCCCTGTGGAGCTCATGGTCTCAGGTGAGGTGACACTGAACTCTCAGGATGGCTTACAATTCAAACCCTAGTAGACCCCTTGACTTGGGTGGGAGTAAGGGAACAAGAGGAAGGTTAGTCAGAAGGCGCTTTCCCTGCCACAGAAGTGGGGGCCAGCAGGGGTCTCTCAAGCAATGTCCACTCCACCTTTTATGGAAATCTAGGTTTGGGGTAGACAGCATGAGGATCACGGGGAAGTTTCATGGCAGATATTGAAAAGTTAGCAGAGGCAGTTCCCTGGGTTTTTACCTCCTACCCTTCTCTTGTTTTTTCCCCTAGGATCCATTGGAGCCTCCAGCCTGTCACCCTCAAGGCCCATGCCAACAGATGGTGAGTATCAGGCACTTCAGTGCAGGGAGTATGCTGCATACTCATGGAGCCTCTGGCTGTTAGCCCAGAAAAGTTCTCACTTCTCTGTCGCTTCAGCTTGTGCATGTGGGAGTGAACAGAGATCCCAATGGAGAGTTCAGAAACCCAGGGATTGGTTTGTGCTACAGAAGGTAGCATCCAGAGACCTTTAGGCTCAGCCTGGAGGATGTGCCAGGTGGGTGACGTGAAGAACACAAAACCCAGACACTCACTTCCCTATCCTGCCACTAAAGGAACTGAGAACAAACATCTCAGCTGCATGGAGTCAAACCAAGGAGGCTATGTAAAGACGCTATTGGAATGTGGGGCCCTGATGGACAGTAGTTAGTTATGATCTTTAATACAGTTGTTTCTACAGATGCAGAACTGGACAAATCCTTCTGTTTCCAGAAAGCTGCTCCTCTGTTTATAAATGGAAGTTTGAGGCCCACACCCTTAAGTTACTTTCAGTTCTGGCCTTGGCTTCTTTTGCAAGAAGAATCCTCCAGGACCTGATTATGCAGTGGGGCTGCCCCACAGCTGTGGTAACATGTGCAAGGGTGAGGCACAGGGCCACGCCAGGGCATTCAGGACCCCTCCCTCTAGATCATGGGGGTTGGTTCTAGGATTCTCCATGAGTTCTATCACCTACACTATCAGGGGCACCTACAGGTGCTATGAACAAATCAACTCATCTCTGTACCTGTTGTCATGTGCCAGTGGCCATGTGGAGCTCATGGTCCAAGGTGAGGGGATACAGATCTTTCTGAGATAAAGGGCACATCAGGTTACACATTTACAACAGTTATTGGCTAGGATTGAGTTCCAAATCCTGCAGAGTGTCAGTCAGATGGATATTCACCCTCATGATGGTGGAGGCCAACATGGATATTTCTAGGAATGCTCATAACAGTCCCTGTTTATGGAATTTAGAAGTGTTTGAGATAGTCTAAAAGAGCATCTTGGGGAGGCCACAGACAGATATAAGATATTAGGCAGAAACCAGTCCCCATCAATAACCTTTGCTCATCACCCTCCACTTACCAGTATTCTCAGACCCTTGCTCTCAGTGTTTCTATGACTCACAGTTTATCTATGGGAGGAGATAGCCTTGGTGGAGTAAGTACAGATCCTGCTATATTTTCCTTCTGTTCAAAACAGATCCACATCTGTAGCTCAACACTACCAAATATGTTCTAAATATTCTAAAAGCTCACTGAACATAACAATGATCAAATTAAGCAAAATAAAATCCAGCATTCTCAGTCAAAACCTTTGTGGAGTCTGCAACGTTTCTCTTCAGGGTGAAATTGAGGAACTGAGACTCTATGGGTTCAGCCTACTTTTGAAGAGTGACAGCTAAGAATGTCCTCTGCCTGCCCTTGGTGTACTCATCAATCCACCATTGATTCTTGAGTCTCCTAAAGTGATGGAAGAGCTGAACCTCTCTCTACTCACACTATACCTGTTCTGTTTGTCTCAATAACTATTATTTGTAAAGAGGACAAAAGTAAGGGTTAGCTATGTCAGTCTTGGGAATCTATACTTAGTGTGGGTTAGCCATGCCTTTGGGGAAAACATTAGGTGAAAGCCCAGAGATGTGCAATAATATACTCTTTCCTTCTTCACACACACACACACACACACACACACACACACACACACACACACACACACTTCACATCTTATTTTGAGAGCCAGGACTGGAGAACACTCTGAATGACTCTGCCCCACACCTTTATCCGGCATTTCCCACATGATATATGAAAGGAAAGAGATGTAGGACAATCTACATCAGTAGGATGTGCTCCTACCTGAACTGGACATAGAGAAATTTCTTGGTCTGATGTGGGGAGTAACAACTGGGAAAGTTTATGAACAAGACAGGTTCTCAATCTTAGCATAAACCATATCTCATTTCTGAGAGACTGTAAGTTTTTTTTCTCCTTGGCCAGCCCTAGGTGGTCCCTGGGTACTCAGAACAGATCAGGGAAAGTCTCAGATCACAGGAGAGATGGGAAGTCTAAGTGGGACAAGAGAACAAACACTCAGAGAAAAAATCATTTAGGAAATCATCCCAAACTGAGAATGTTGTCCACACAACCTCTTCTGAGCTAAACAGAGATACCACATTCAGAATCACCTTGTGGCTGCTCACTGTCATGACTCAGGGGTCAGTGCCTGGAATGTCTTGTCAATTTTTTTCTACTCTGAATTTACTGTTTTCAGGTGTGTTTTCACAGTGGTCCTGAAGAATCTAATAAGAACTCCTAGTGGTAATAGGGACTGTCTCTGAATCTTTTACTGGCTTTGGGGACCCTACTCCTCATAATTGGTCACTTTGCCCCCCCTTAATACATGGGGAGGTGCTCAGTCTTAACCTTAACTATGTGCCATATGTTGTTGATACTCATGGGAGACCTGCCCTTTCCTAAACAGAAAACAGAAGCAGTGGATTCAAGGGTGGGAACAGAGGTATTAGGGAGGAGTGACTGGGAAGAGAATGGGAACTGCAGCTGGGATGTAACATAAACAAACAAACAAATAAGTAAATGTATTTTTAAAAAGAATAAGAGAGGGAACACAGCTATAACAATGAAAAGATTTATCCCAGACTTCGTGAACTTTTAGAATAAGTATTATTGGTATTTACAATAAATGAGAAAGTAGAATGCAGAAGAAACACCCAGCTCTCTTAAGCATGCACACATCCTATTTCTCTTCTTCTGTTCTCAGAATCAGTTGAGATTTTCAGTCCATCCCAGAACATGCCTAAACCCAACACAGTTGAACAAAGAGAATTTAAAGTCATAACATTGGAAACAGAGGCTCCAGGTTTTGTCACAGTGAGGCAGGGGACCTGGGTGGACATTTAGTTATCTTGGGAACATGTAGTTATCTTGAGGAAATTTTGACCGTCAGTATCCTCTGTAACTTCTTTGTCCACAATCACAGCCTCAAAGAACCAGGATCACACAGTGGAGAATCTCATCAGGATGGGATTTGCTGCCATGATCCTCATAGTCCTTGGGATTCTGGTCTTTGGAGCTTGGAGCAGCCAAAGGCAGGCCCACCATGCAACTGAGAAGTAATCAGAGAAGAAAGAAGTACATCTCTCAAGGTTCCAGAGCCTTGGAAATAAATCTGATGATCCCAAGAATTCTGTAAGAAAATCCAGTTCTTACACTGAGGAACTGGAGAGAGAATGTCCAGGGAACAAATGTGTTTTGGGTGCAGAGGTAACCTTGGGTATGATGAGATCCTTCCTCAGCAAATGAGTTTACATCCCTCCACCTACTGTGGGTGTTTGCTGACTAAACCAACTCCTTTATTGATCTATATAGTGAGGGAATATCCTGTCTCATCTGCCAGGCTTCCATCCTCATTTTTGTACATTCCCCTCCATGTGTAATTTTCCATTTTTAATAAATTGCCACATTCTCTATGGCAGAAGCTTCTCTCTGTTGAACTAGAAATAAAGAATGTGCCTCAATAACAAAATAGACAAGTAAAGTCAGAGCCCAGAATTCAAAGTCACTCTGCCTGTGATGTCTCAAAACTCTCTTTGTGACCCTCCATTCTTTCAGACTTCAACACATGTTCTTCATGGAGTTTCTCTTGAAATATAAAGCCAATGTCACCCCACTGGTAGAACAAAGACTAGCTGGCAAGACAATGTGGGTAGTACATTGAAAGTGTTTTCTTAACACAAATTTCTGATTTATAGCAATTGCTAACCACTGCAAACATCCCCATCAAAGAAACCTTCACAACAGCAAAGTAGTATCACAGGTGTGAGGGTGGTGAGTTTTGAATGGAATTGGTGTTTTTCGTTTCATTTTCCACTGTCTATTTCTCATATATGAAAAAGCAATTGGCTTGCAGATCAATCATCCCAGATTCACCTTGCTAGAAAGACTTATTCTACAATTCATAATTTCTACATAGACAATCACATTATGTTCAAACAATGACAGTGCTATTTCTCTCTCTCTCTCTCTCTCTCTCTCTCTCTCTCTCTCTTTCTCTCTCTCTCTCTCTCATCCTATACTTCTGTTTCTGTATTAGCTAAGTCTTCAAGTACAAAGCTGAAAATGTGTGAAGAGAGGTGACTCTTAATTTCTTCAAGACTTAATGCAAAATTTCTGCTTTTTCACCATTCAGTATGATACTAACATTGGTATTTTGGTACATTAATTAGTCTGACTCAGGAGGTTCCCTGTGTCAAATTTCCTGTGACTGTTCATGATGAATGGCTGTGGGACACTGACAAATACTGACTCTTCATCAAAAACTGCCTCCATTATGTATGTTTTTAATTTTAACCTTGTTACTATCATCAATACCATATATGTTCAATGTTGGATGGGATTTACATGAATGGATAAATTCTACTTTTTCAGGAGGTGTTCTTTTCATTTTAAAATACATTCTCATGGCTAACAGCAGGATATCATCTGAAGAACTCACATTTAGTAAATGTTTTTCACATTGTTAACATTATAGAATACTTAGCAAAGTCTCATGAATATGGTGCCACCGATTACTTGCTCTTCAGGACTGTCTCTACAGGTTGCAGGAATATTTTTGTAGATTTTGCAGCTGTGTTCATGGGAGGTTTTAGCCTATAATTTCTTTTTCTTGATTTACAATTAGGTGATGCTGTCTTTACAGCATGGATTAGGTTACAAGTTCCATTCTCTAGACCTGAATGTCCAGTTAATTAGGTAGCCTGTACTCAATTTCTCCCTCTACCTAAGCAGATCCTTTTGTTTGGGTTTTGTTGTGTTATTGGTTTTTTTCAACACAAGGTCACTCTGCAGAGCCCTGGCTGTCCTGGAACTCACTATGAAGACCTGGTTGTTCTTAATCTTACAGATTATCCACCTTCCTCTGCCTCAGAAGTGTTGAGTTTAAAAGAATGTGCCACCAGAACTACCAGCTGAGCAGGTCTTAGGAGACTACACTTGTCCACGCCATCAATATACCACCTCACTCAGTTCTCATAGAAAATGTTACCTGGTCCTGTCAGACTTTTATCTGAATCTTGAAAGGCCCATGGAGGGAGGAGATATGTCCTGGTCCAGAAACATGATGCCTAAAAAAAAAATAAAATAAAACTAGAAATTGATACTCTGATAGTTACTACATTGGAGGTCAATGGGAGACATACAAGGAATTGGCATGCTACATGACACCACCCAGCCCAGACGCTCTAAGGTCCTTTCTTCTCTGTGCACAACACTAGTTTACAGGAAGTCATGCGACATGGTGAGGGGAACAGGTTGCTAATTGAAGCATGAGCAGAATCTATTGTCTCTGCCTCAGGGAAGAAATGGTTGTCCTGTCGTCAACCATTACCAATACTTAGTAACGCTTCAGACTCTTCTGCATGAAGCTGTTCAAGGAGCAATGAACACCACCAAAGTGAACCAGAAGAGAAAGGGCTGGATGGATCCAGCAAAGATGCCCATTATCTGTGAAATTATAGACCCTCTCTGTATACCTAAGTCAGCGAACTACATTCTGGCTCAGATGCAAGTGACTGTGTCAGGAGTCCCAAACTTTGCTTCCATATGTTGTCCTCTGAGAGGGTAGCATCAGGTTCTGACATCTCTTAGAATCATTAATCAAGAAATTGCCCACAGACATGACTAACATGTAATTTGATCAAAGCACATCCTCAGGTGAGGTTGCCTATTTCCCAAGGACTTTAGTCTACCTCAAGATGAAAAAACTAACCAATGCACTCTCCCACCCTGATTCGTATGCTCAGAAATAAGAATCTATATATGAATCCTCCCATGCCACTGAACTAGTTGATTCTCACAGTAACCCTGAAAGACAGGGCACTGCCTTTGTTGTACTCCAAGGAGGGGTGGATATAGATTAATGCCATCTTCAGTTTGAAAGTCAGCAAATGATATTCTTGTACCTTACAGAGCAGCCAGATTATGTGATTCCCTGAGCATTAGTGCTGAGGGCATTGAGACATTATCTGCAGTGTGATATCAGGAACTGTGGCCCAGATAGAAAAGTAACAGAGGGAAAGAAGCAGAGTCAGAAGTGTGGAAGAAGAGGAGGGAGTAGGCGGGGCTTCCTGTGCCAGAAATGAGGAAGTCAGAAGGGTAAGGAAATTGCCAGTTAGAAATCACAAACCCAGGCAAGAAGGGAGGTCAGCTTCCCCAGAGAGTCATCTAGGGCTTGCATAACTCTTTTTTTTCTTTTTAAAAATTATTTATAGTCTTTTTTTCTATTAAGAAATTTTTTCATTCATTTTATACATCAATCGAAGATTCCCCTCTTCTCTCCTCCCACCCCTCCAACCTCACCCTCCCAACCTACCCCCTTATCCCCCCACCAAGAAGGCAAGATGGAGAGACACATCCAGTAGAGGCAAGTCCAAGCCCTTCCCTCTTCCTCAAGGCTACACCACCGAGGTGAGGTTCCCCATCATAGGTAGTGGGCTCCAAAAAACCCCCTCATGCACCAGGGATGGATTCTGATCCTACAGCCAGAGGGCACCCCAAGCAGATCAAGCTACACCACTGTCTCTCTAAGGAGAGGGCCTAGTCCAGTCCCACACAGGCTCCACAGCCATTGATCCAACTTTCATGAGTTCCCACTTGTTTGGTTTGGTTGTCTCTGCAGGTTTCCCCATCATGATCCTGATGCACTTGCCAGAGAATCCCTCTTCTCTCTCTTTGACTGGACCCCTGGAGCTCTGCCTGGTGTTTGGTTGTGCATCTCTGCATCTGCTTCCACCGGTCATTGGAGAAGATCTCTGTGATGACAGTCAGGGAACTCTCTGGTCTGATCATTGGGGTAAGCCAGTTCAGTTCAGGTACCCTCTCCACTATTTCTAGTAGACCAAGCTGGGGTCATGCTTGGGGATTCCTGACAACTTCCCTAGCACCAGGTTTCTCTATCCCTATAATATGGTATTTTATCATAGTATCTATCTTGGTATCTCTTTCATTGCTTTCCCACTCCATCCCTGTTCCAGCTCAACCATCCCATTCATTTACGTTCTCATCCCCTATCCCCTACCCTCCATTGCCCACCCCTCATCCCCAGTTTTCTCATGGAGATCTCATCTGTTTCTCCTTCCCAGGGTGATCCATGTGTCCCTCTTTGGGTCTTCCTTGTTAACTAGCTTCTCTAGAGTTGTGGGTTGTTGTCTGGTTATATTTTGTTCTACAGATAGTATCCACTTGTGAGTGAGTACATACCATGTTTGTCCTTCTGGGTTTGGGTTACCTCACTCAGGATGCTATTTTCTAGTTCCATCCATTTGCCTGCAAACCTCATGATGTCACTGTTTTTCTCTGCTGAGTAGTACTCCATTGTGTATATGTACCACATTTTCTTAATCAGTCTTCAGTTGAAGGGCATCCATCTAGGTTGTTTCCAGGTTCTGGCTATTATGAATAATGCTGCTATGAACATAGTTGAGCATATATCCCTGTGGTATGATTGAACATTCCCAAGAGTGATATAGCTGGGTCTTGAGGAAGACTGATTCCCAGTTTTCTGAGGAACTGCCACACTGATTTCCAAAGTTTGCACTCCCACCAATGGTGGAAGAGTGTTCTCCTTGCTCCATATCCTCTCCAACATAAGCTGTCTGTGGTGCTTTTGATCTTAGCCATTCTGACAGGTGTAAGATGGTATTTTAGAGTCATTTTGATATGTAGCTCCCTGATGACTAAGGATGCTGAACAATTCCTTAAATGTCTTCCAACCATTTGAAATTCTTCCTTTGAGAATTCTCTCTATAGCTCTATAGCCCATTTTTAATGGGATTGTTTATTATTTTGATGTCTAGTTTCTTGAGTTCCTTATATATTTTGGAGATCAGCCCTCTCACAGATGTGGGGTTGGTGAAAATATTTTCCCATTTTGTAGGCTGTCATTTTGTCTTATTTACTGTGTCCTTTGCCTTACAGAAGCTTTTCAGTTTCAGGAGGTCCCCTTTATTAATTGCTGCTTTCAGTGTCTATGCTACTGGTGTTAGATTTAGGAAATGGTATCCTGTGCCAATGCATTCAAGACTATTTCCTACTTTCTTTTCTGGACTAGTGAGGTGCCTCAGTGTACACATGCCTGCAGACAAGTCTTAAGACCTGACTCTGATCCACAGAATCCATAGCGCTTACCATCTCCACTTTCCTTTTTCTTTCTGCTTCAGAAAAGCAAAAATTTACTAGTTTCCAGGGGATCCCAGACCAAGCAAAGCCATAATTTGTTTGACATTTTTGAGGCTCAGTTTGTTCACGTGGCCACCCTTCCTCTTGTGCCAGTTGAGCACACAAGGGTGCAGGTGTGAGCAGGACTTGTGGGCAGCACTGTATCATCTTGTTGTAGCTGTACTCATAGACAAGCTGACGAAGGGATGGCTGTAAGATGCTACCATGAAGGTGCCGTTCCAGGATCAGGGCAGAATCTTTCTAGATGATGTAGTTGGCCTTGATGCAGCCACCTTCCATCTGCTGGGCTGCAAATATCAGTTGTGCTGGTTAGGTGGGATGCCTTCCAGGTCTTGGAATTTAACATGACATTTGAAATGGTTTGACTGGGATATACCTAGAGTGTGATGGTCTTGTCATTTATGGCCTTGGTGAAATTCTGCATGTTAGTATCTGCTTGGATACCTAGTTAAAGAGAAAAAGAGCTCAGTTGAAGTATTTTATTTCCTTTTACTTTTGGTACTAGGGCATGATGGAGGGCTTCTAGTATCCTAAAAACTTATTCTACCCCTGAGTCACACCCCAGCTCTACTTCATGGTTTTTCCATTTCTGATATTACTTTTAATTTTTCCATTGTTATCTATTTCTTACGTTTGTGGGTTTAATTATTTCTGTTATTGTTTTCAGACAGGCTTTCTCTGTGTATCCCTGTCTGTGCCAGAGCTGGTTATGTAAACCAGGCAACTCTGGAATTCTCAAAGATCCTTCTGCCTCTGTTTCCAAAGTGCTAGGATTCAAGCTGTGAGCCACCACACCAAGTCAGGGGTTTACATTTTTAAGTGTTTGAAAATTTAATACCTGTGTATATTGTGTTTTCTTCATGTCCATATTTCCAACATTCCAATTATCCCTCACCCTCTCTTGTTGGATCACCTCCTCACTGACCTGATTTTATTTAATTCTTTCCCTCACCCGCCAGTTGTTGAAAATGTGCTGTTTAATTCCTATGAAGCTATGAGAGGTCCCATTTCTCCTTTCATTTACTGAATGTGAGTTTCCTTCCACTGTGGTCTGAGCTGATTCTAGCTGTGAGCTCATCTTTCTAAGGCTGAGACTTGCTCTGTGTTTTGCTTGGGGCAATGTGCTAAGTGGATGGTTTGAGAGTATAGACAATGTCTTGAGTCCTCACTGAGCCTAAACTGTGTCAATCCT